TTATCAATGAAGATAAATGGTACTAATTTATCAAACTTTACGATTTTTTTAACTATAACTATGCTCGATGGCGCCTCTTCCATGCACAGTATACACAGTATTTCATAGTAAGTGCAGAGTGGGGCTACTATCATTGCTAGAACAACCTGAGGATATGTTATGTACGTAAATTACAAAATGTCTGGAAGAATTATATACATGTACCGTCGTATAGTGCTTTATCTCACCTACCAATGACGCTGGATGATAGCTATACGCTCATAACATATCATTTATTACCATTATTAAAGTTCACATAATTTGATATCTGAAAATCTGAAAGCTCAACTTTACATTACTTCACCTTTCCTAGAATGTGAGATCTAGGTCGGAGTAACATGGAGTGATGTTCCACCTTGCAGTGAATGTTCCGAAATCCAATGCTTATCTTTCTTTCAGAATACGAGTCTACCAGCGGCCGAGCGGTAAAGACGCTGAACTTCGGTCCGAGGTTCGAATCCCGCGAACGGGCTGGCTGCATGGGCGTTTTCGTGGTTTTCCCCATGTGTAACGTGTATAGGAGCCAGTTTCCCTTAGAAAGTCCTCCACAAAAGACATCCCTCCCTTTAGGCAGATAGCCCTAGTGTGCTTTACCATAATTAAATACACCACACACCACACTTTCAGAATACGAATAATGTTGTTTCATAATAAATCAGCATGAGCTGAATTTTGACGATGGCATTTGAAACACAGAGCCATCTATTGGAAGATTCCGAAGATAAAAAATTGTCTCGCGGATATAGTTGCAGTTAAAACATTTACATAATAAAAGTTGTTAAAAGCACGTATTTGTATGCGTTTCTGTAATAACTATATTTCTGTATATTATCTCTAAAACACAATTTTTTTTCAAGTTTATTGATTTTTGGAGATCAATCTTCATTTTCAAATGCATAATTAATACCATAAAATTTCATTTTCAAATGCATAATTTATACCATAAAATGTATCATGTAGTGCAATTTATATTTTGCTCACTTGTGTTCAGAATTATTTTTGTGTTGATTCTGAATACCTACTTGCAGCTACATTTCATAAAAATAATAATAATGTAATTATAAATAGCTACTAGCAGTTTACACTTTAACTAAATATAATGCATAAAACTTAAGATTAAATAATTGTTAAAACGTACAGCCTAAATTTTTAAGCGGGTACCGAAAAGGAAATTTTGATTACCTTATTCATTCAACTGCTAAATCTGCCTTTTTTCCTTCTTATTTGTAGAATGATGAAATCTTTTCAATGCTATAGAGTTTGGTCTTCTTAGGGAGCATAAGATAGATCTAAAACTTTAAAAGACAAGTGTAGAATTAGCGCTATTTCTTGTAAGCACCACAGATACACTTAAAGGGTGTAAAGGACCCTTTCATTAACTCAAATTAAGTTAATAGATGGCATCAGTTCATGTTTACAGAAGCCAACAGTTTTGGCTTAAATCAAGGATACTGGATGAATTAAAACTAATGAAAACGGCTACGTTCAACCTAATGGCTTGAAACCTAAATTTGAGCTAATTCGCAAGTCGATTCTGACTTCCTAAGATCGGCGTAACATGCCTCATGGCAAGAATAACTCAGCGTCGCAAAATACTAATCCCAAAAGAATCAAATTTAGCCACGTGATTTTCAAGTAGGCAGAACCAGTGATATATCTATCCTAGATATAGGAGGCACTGGCAGAACACGCTCTAATTCTACCTTCTAAAATCTTCCTTTAAAGTCTCTTCTTTCTACCTCATTTGAATATCGCGCGAACTAGAAATTTTCATTCTGGCAAGCAAATGGAAATGAGAACGACAGAAAAAAATATTAACACAAACTAACTAGTTAGAAACTTAAATGATAGCTTACTATGCATATTATATGATATTATTCCAAAACTTATTTTCAAAAACAGCTCGCAGAGAGCGCTTGCTATCTACTCCCAGTTATTAGTCCAAAGGGGCTTCGTCCCTGAAGGACTATTGTTCTCGTTTCGCGATTTTGCGTCGGAATCGGCGTATCACTTTTCAAATCGTTGCCACCAAATGCTATCGCCCTGTGTTATATTTGAAGAAATTAAATAATGAAGCATATGCATAAATGTATGTATATTTCTTGCATTGTGATAAAACAACGGTACATAGAGCCATACAATTTTGAATGACGTAATCCTACTGCGAATATGGGAATCTGAAAGCCAAAATTTGAAATTTGGAACTTGTTTTATTATCGATCTCATATTTGTAAAACTTTAAGGAATTTTAATATTAACAAACTCAACGATTTAAAAGCGAGCAATGGCAACACTCTACGGGGGGGGGACCTTTTTATCTCTAGCGCGCGGAACTGTGTATCGGAAATTCTAAAGATACGCTTATTTTAAAATGATTTTGCAAGATTGCTGTTGAACTGAATTTTAAGGTTTAAGGGCAAAGAACATGATATTTAATAAATAAACGTAACACACAAGACGTTAAAAAAAAGCCCCATTTGGACGTAATTTAAAATGCACATAAAAGAATTTGTACAGTGTGTTATGATTAGAATATGAAACACAGGTATGAATCTTTCTTTTATATCAATTATTGACATCTAACACACACACAGCTGGTTTTTCATACAACTACTACAGTTAATATATAGCAAGAGCTACAATCATTGCAAAATAAAGAATATCACTAGTTAAGGTTAGAAGGTTGAGTGAAACAATAGATGTCTGACGAGGCATTATTGACTGTAAACTAACTAAGAAAGTCACAAAAGCTTATTTAAATACAAACATGAGGGTCAAACAGACGCTTTTAATAAATTCTCTTAAGAAGATCTTTTCTTCATTTCACTGAGAAAGCCAAAGTGCTCGAAAATTATCTGCTTCTACATGGATTCCTACATAAAGTGAATTCCTATTCCAAAATGAAAATGGCTTTTATTCACGCTTAAGAAGTGATAAATCGCTATGAATTAATTTAAGTTAATCATGGAATATATCTATTTATAAGTGTCTGAATTTAGTAAGAGAGATTAAATAATGAATGGCCGATAGAAAATCTGTTTCATATACCGATAGATAATTTCATAATTTCTTCTTTTATAAGTAAACAGCAAGCTCGAATGAATCACGAAGGTAATGGTACAATATTTATTCCTGCTTAAAAATGTTTCGGAAGAAATCTTCTTTTGATCAAGTTAAAGAACCGCAATACTACATGAAATAAAAATTCTTTTCAATTATTTAAGACGACTCATAAACCTTAAAATCTTCAAATATGTGATTGTTGCAAGAATTTGGATATTTTATTTATTTTAAAAGCAACTTTTTCTTCCAACTTTTTATAGCTGACTGCAAAATATAGCTGCTTTCTGAACTAGTAATCAGAAAGTTTGTGTTGCCACAAATAGTTTTGTAATTTAATCTGCTTTGTATTAATGTGCGTTCACGTCATGTTTCCATCTTGCGAGCTATATTATGGAATCAGCTGTAAAAAGTTGGAACTAATTGCTTTCAAAATAAATAAAATGTCCTAATTCTTGCAACAGTCATATATTCGAAGATCTTAAGAGTTTTAAGATGTACGAGTCCCTTTAATATGATGTCATGAAATTCATATCCTCTCAAATTTTGCTTCATCTCACATAATATCTAAATGGGATCCAAAATTAGTGCCATTAGTTGCCATCTAGTGCCATTAGTTAATTCTATTACTTGAAAGACATGATTCTTTGGATAGTTTTGAGCAACATCCACCTCCTAATGAAGTCGGATGATAAGAGTCTTGTTTAAATCATGTACAGTACATTACAAATCATATATAGTAATATTTTAGATAGATTTGTAAACTGAATTTCTTAGCTCGTATTTTGTAACACTTGTATGGAGCTACTTATTAATTGTTTCAAGTCTCACCTCTCAAATGTTAATTTAAAAGCTACTAAGTGAGTAATCACTGCAAGCTTAACTAAATGGCGGAAGTACACAAACACAAATACATAACTTAAGTTTGTTCTGTAGCACCTTTTCTGAGGAATAAATTAATATATTGTAAAACAAAATTTCCAGTAGCTTAAACTTGGTAGTGAACCCAACTGGTCTTTTAACATCTTCTGCATTTACAAATCTAAATACTTCTTATTGCTGTTGTTACCAATCTCGCTTGTTTGAATCACAAAAGCTCACGAAATTCATTGCCTCAAGGAGTCAAGATTGCTCCTGTCATAGACAAGAACTCTAAGCCCGACACTCGTGACAGCGCGACCTCAGTTTCGCCTCCAGTTTTGATACAGAGCACTTCAAGGGGGGGATTGGTCCGAGTTCCACCTCCTCTTCCTCTACCACCAAGCTCTCGAGAAGACTCTCGGATCGCCGCCAATTTTGAGTGCCCCATATCGCACAGAACACTATACATTTACAAACATCCATATCTTCTCCATATTCGAACCCGGGCCCTTCTGTACCGTAGTCAGGGTCACTAACCACTGTACTGGTTTGGTGGCTCTAAATACTTTTTAAGCAAGACTACAAGCTAAGTGTCAGCAACTGAAAGCTAGCTGGAATCGTTGCTTACTAACCAAGCTACCATCTTAAGATCATAATTCCCTTTTAGTGACCGTAGTCAGGGTCACTAACCACTGTACTGGTTGGGTGGCTCTAAATACTTTTTAAGCAAGACTACAAGCTAAGTGTCAGCAACTGAAAGCTAGCTGGAATCGTTGCCTACTAACCAAGCTACCATCTTAAGATCATAATTCCCTTTTCGAGAGCGTCCTTTTGCTAACAGGCAAGCGTAATGGTCGTGCAGCTAAACGCTTGATCCAAACATTCGTATGGTTCCAAGCTCCTTCCTTAAATTTATACTGAACTGCATGTCACACAAATCTGCAATTACTATTTCATTTTGTGAAAAACATTCTTCTTTTCCCATGTGTATTAACATAAACTCTTTTTTTTTTTTTTTTTTTTTTTTTTTTTTTTTTCAGAACAACATATTTCCAAGTTTAGATGACAATCTCATGACACGACCTATTGACCAACTGAGTAAACATATTTCTGGAAACAGCCATACTGGTGGTGCTGTCCATCTCAAACATGAGATGCTATACGGAGCCCATACCAGCATGAATGCTAGCCATCCCAGTCATATGGAATCTTTGGAAATTATGGAGCCTCTTTCGTCATCTTCTGTGCCGCCTTTGCCAACAGAAACCACGAATGGGCAGACGATGAGAAGCACCTTGTACCCCCCATCGATGAATTCGATGGCCCCACCACAACCACATTCTTTGCACAGTCACAACCTTCATCATCACCATCATGGCTGTCGTGGTGGCTTTACGCCGCATGTCTTCGACAGGATACAAAGTGACGATTCCGACCCAAGGGATCTTGAAGCTTTTGCAGAAAGATTTAAACAAAGACGCATAAAATTGGGAGTCACTCAAGCAGACGTTGGAAGAGCTCTGGTCCACCTTAAGCTTCCTGGAGTGGGTACTCTATCGCAAAGTACCATCTGCAGATTCGAGTCATTGACTTTGTCACGAAACAATATGATCGCTTTGAAACCAGTTCTGCATTCATGGCTGGAAGCTGCTGAATTACAAGCTCGTGGCAAGAAGCGAGACACTCCATTCGTGCTGCCATCAGGTGATAAAAAAAGGAAAAGGACTTCAATAGCAGCACTGGAAAAACGTTCTTTGGAAGCTTATTTTGCTGTGCAACAAAGGCCTAGTGGAGACAAAATTGCATCCATCGCCGAAAAGCTAGACCTAAAAAAAAGCGTTGTAAGAGTTTGGTTTTGTAACCAAAGACAGAAACAAAAAAGAATGAAATATTCTGCCAATCAAAATATAAACTAAACGTCATCAATCATAATTTTCAGTAAAATTTCCGATTGAGATTAACAATTTTCGAATGTTTACCAATTTCTGTGTTTGGAAATGTAACACGGACGGCCAGATAGCAAGTTGTGTTCCTGATATTTTTACTTTGTCGATGTCGATGGCATAGAATGTATTTTTGGTATGTTCCTCATGGCATTACTTCTTAATCCTTTATTTGGCTCGGTTGCTCAGAAACTACATGTGCTTTCCCAATTAGCCCATTCAAAGGTTAAATTACTGAATTGCTATAATTAGAACCAGAATTGACTTAATATGTGCGAATTTTAGAGAGTGGAATCTTTAAGGTTTTAACATACTTTTTTATTCGGCTGTTAGTAAATGCATGAGTAAAAGAAAAGTAAATTTAAAAAGAAGAAAATTCAAGAAGGTGCAACGAAGCACTTTAAAAACTTATAAATATAAAAAAATAATAATAATTTTAAAAAAATCACAAAGGTTTCAGATTCTAAATTACGTCCAAAGGGACGTTTTTTAACGTTTTGTGTGTTACCTTTATTTATTAAATATCATGTTCTTTGCACTTAAACCATAAAACTCAGTTCAATAACAAAATAATTTTAAAAAGAGCCTATCTTTAGAATTCCCGATACACAGTTCCGAGCGCTGGAGATAAAAAACGTTTTCTTTCCCCCGTAGAGTGTTGCCATTGCTCGCTTTTAAATCCTTGAGATTGCTAATCAAAAATTCGCAAAAGTTTTACAAAATATGAAATCGATCATAAAACAAATTCCAAATTTCAAATTTGGTCTTCCACATGCCCATATTCGTAGGAGGATTACGTCATTCAAAATTCGATGGCTCTATGTACCGTTGTTTTATCACAATGCGGGAAATAAACATACACATTTATGCAGATTTTTCATTATTTAATTGCTTCAAATATAATGCAGGGCTCTAACAGTTGGTGGCAACAGTTTGAAATTTGAAACGGACATTTATAGTGATTGAACGCAAAATCGCAAAACGAAAACTATAGTCCTTCAGGGACAAAGCCCCTTTGGACTAATAATAAAGCACAGCTACAATGAAGTACAATATTTTAACATCACTGTGTTTTATATTCTTCTTCCATGATTTTATTTTTGACTTTAGTCTGTCTCATTAATTATCTAGTTAGCAGGCGGAAGAAAAAATGTACTTAAGACTTTCTGAAAATTTCCTACTAAGATTTGCATAATATTCCTCCAGTTCTCCTGCCAAACATTTTATCTTTTCTAAATTACTTTATTTGACTTGCCTTTTTTTATTACTTGATTCTTATTTAACATAAAAACATTCTAAGATGGGTAATTTTTATTATCTAAGAAAATAATTTACTGTAATATTTTAATTTAATATTTAGATTAATGATCCAGAAAACAAATTTCGCAAATAAAATAACATTAATATTTGTAAAGTTTACTTGCTTTTGTGTTAAAACATAAACAAGCAGTTGTGTTACTGACATAATTTAGTAACTCAAAAATTGCTTGAAAACCATAAAATGATTTAAGTGTTATTAATAGATCATTTTTTTAAATTATTCAATAGTTATCCGTATCACTTATTTTATGTGAGTAAGTTCAATGTAATTATCCAGCTTATGTCACAGAAAAGGTATTTTCTTGTAATTGAAATTCAATCCGAGTATTTAAGAAATAAAGTAATTCATTCTTAACAAAATGAATTGTTATTGACCGTGAAATTTTCACTATGAAAAAGCAGCTGCAACTATTAAAATCTATACATGCATAAATTTATCATTATTGAAATTTATACATATACATTATATACATATATACATTATATATGTGATGAAAAAGACGTAGCAATGTCGATGGCGTAGAAGCATTGATTATATATCTATAATGAGTTTTGATGGCGTAGAAGGTCGGTTCACATTGAAGAGGAAATTTAACAGTGGATGTGGATTAAATATTCATTTTATTTTATTTCACATTTGTAGCCACAGTTTACTGGGCCGTTTAATCTTACCTATTCAAGAACATATACATTTTTGATACTGCTGAGTTAGGAAATGAGCAGAGACGCTATTCACTATGGAGGCTCACCAAGAGAAGGTTTTTGACTTAGGTTACTTATTAAGAGAACAATTTTACTTCCCAAGATTTTGAGTTCAGGTTCTGGATTAGCTACGTCATCAGCGTTACTCAAGCCATATGACATAGGTGTGTGTGTGATTATGGCAAAGCCTCGAGGGCTATCTGCTAAGGGGAGGGATGCCTTCGTGGAGGACTTTCTAAGGAAACCTGGCTTGTATACACGTTACACATGAGGAAAACCACGAAGACGCCCATGCAGCCAGCCCTTTCGTGAGATTCGAACCTCGAACCGACTTACCAGTGTTCGGCGACTTTACCGCTCGGCCGCTGGTGGCCCGCATATGACATAGACTGACCTAGAAATGACGCAGTCCAGAAAAGTTCCTTCTATTTTTAGAATACGGAGAAATACCCAAATTAAAAATGAGCAATTTAAAGGCTATTGTTAAATTAAATCCTAAAGCTGATTTACATTTTGTTTATCTTAATTCTATATTTTAAATAATGAATTATGTCTACCATATGCTATTTCTTCTGCAACAGAACATTAAGTACTTGTCGAAAATATTAAAAAATGGGGTAGCTTTTGTTAGCGAATATTGCATAAAGATGAATTAATATGTTACGATCATCATATTATCTGAATCATTGAAACATGCAATTGAAAAGCGTGACTTAAACGGTCTCTGCATATCAAAACCTTACTGTAGCCTCATAATGAAACATCAAAGAACTTCATGTCTTGAGATTTGGGTAGCCGTTCATTGGGACTTTCTGCTCGATTTGTACCAAAATCTGAAAACTAGACAAGTGTGAGATAATGCCGCAACTTGCATCAGTATCATAAAATCAAAAGTTCTAGGATAAAAATAATGTTGTTTTATAACTTAATTCCGATTGCTTGTTGAAAATGTTAGTTAAGAAGAAGAACCGCATACTCAAGATTGCAAATTAGTACACCATCTTTTCAGTACAATTGAAGCTAAAATATTTAGTTTCAGTACTTGTTCAGTAGTGTTGCTTTACCGTCCAATGGAAATTCATTCCAATGTGAATTTTTTAAATGTTACTGACCATATTTTGAAAAGATTAATTTAAGTTATTTATTATGCCAAAGCTAGCTTTTACTATTTGCCTAAGGAGGGAATTTGCATCTGGATAGAATCTTGTCCGGCAGAAACTTAGATGATGTTCATATTTATGCATAAGGGAAAGCCATTATTTTGTAGTTATAATTAATACTGATGATTAAGTAGAACTAATATTTCATTTGAATTAGAAGAAATACAGCAATTTTACATTATGAAAATCAAAAACATTTTGTATAATTCGAACTTCATTTTTGAAACGATTACGTGAGGCCAATCGTTTATCATAAAAGATGCCTTTCTTTTCCTCCGTTCCTGTCATAAAATCAAATCAAATCTGTACAAAATGACAATTTTCAAAGCATTATAGAAGACATATCTCTAAACACCTAAAATTCGAATAAACTACTTAACTAAATCTAATTATAAGACGCATTCATAATTTTCAAATCAGTTAATTGAAAATAAACTACCTAACTATTTTACTTATAAAACGCATTTATAATTTTAATATCAGTTAACTGAAATTATTTTTTTAATTCATTAAATATAGTTAAAATGTGTATCCCTGTAATTAAGGATATTTAAAATAACTTATGCACAAAATTAGTATCATACGAATTATATACTATGTTTTGCAAACGAAGTCAATAGTTCTCAGTTCTCCGGTTTCACTTAAATAAGCGAAATACCGTTACACCATGAGGGCTTGCTGGGAGTAGGGAAAAAATCCTCTTTCTTAAAGGAAGACCGGGGATATTGGTCTCAATCGACAAATGCTGGCGGGGTAAAGAATTATCGTTCACCAAATTTTTTGTTCTGGCGCCACTGTAAATTCATTACGTTATTTTGAAGCAGAAGGCATGAAAAATGCGCAATGCCCTCCCTGGGATTCGAACCAGGAGCTCTCGAATACGCGCCGAGTGTGCTACCGTTGCACCACGAAAGCTTGCTGGAAGGAGGGAGAAAATAACTTAGAACGCGAAAGTTCCTAATGTCAATCACATGTGATGAATCCTACAAAGGAATTTCCGTTTGTGTCAAAGCAGAGACGCTGCAAATTTACAGTAATAGGAAACTTGCAGCGATCGTAAAGCAATGACGTTATCTTTCGTTCAGAACGTATGGCCTATCCAGTGATATTTTGGATTTGATCTATCATGTGAAGAAGTTAGATGACTGTGTTGTTAGAGTATCCGTGTGCTAAGCTAATCCTCTAAGGTAGAGGTCTTCAACCCGTGGGCCCGCTGAAGGCATTTTAGTGGCCCCGCATTTAAATTTGAAGAAAAACTGAAGAATTTTAAGAAATTTTGATTTTCAGAAAAATTGCCTTGTCGTAAAAAAAAACTTTTTTTTTTTTCCCTCTTATTCTTGATATTCAAAACATTTTATTGACATGCCTGATATTACTTGAGATAAAATTTTGGCTAATCTGTGGAATATGGTAACAGGTAGTTCGGTTACATTTTGGTACGGCGATAAAAGTTACTAGCTAGGACTTTAGCAGTGTACATGGATATAGTCAAGAGTGTGCGCAATGCCATTTTTTTGCAATTCTGGGATGCTTTTTAAGTGAAAATAGGTCGACGTGTACATGGATGATACCATGTATGTGCAATTCGTAAGAACGCGGCAAGCAGTGGGCGATTCTGCACTTTGTCCCAATTTCGCGCCTAATCTTCGTCATGATTAAGCACTTTTGTTCCATAAAAGTTCTAGCATAAGCGTAATTCGGTTAGCAGATTGTTGGGAAAAAATGATGAGTAAAAAAAAAGAAAAAAAAATGCTTTTACTTCGTGAAAATAAAATGGCGTCCAAACAAAAA